TTTAACTAGTATGCCATCTTAAATGCACATTTCAAAATACATTCGATTCGTTAGCACTACATTTCACTAATATCCAGAAACTAGTGTTCATTGTCAGTGACTGATAGTGATAACAGAAAGAGCTTCCGGACAATCGGTTCCCGTGGATACCGGGCGGAGTGGCACGCGAACAAGTGGTTACCAGAGACCCGAGAGAGACAGCTCAAACACAGACAGGCTAAACAACCCTAAACAAGATTCACCGGCCGCGAGACGCGTAGACCTGTGCGCCATTGTGCGCGTGGCTCAGAATTTGCATAGGCAAATATTACGCGTTTGATTAGCAGACGGGAAAAAAGAACACCCATACTAACCGTTGCCTTGATGGGGACGTACAGGACCGGTTTGTCCGCTGCCCCGTTCTCGTTCGGCTTCCTGTCAGTGTTGCCCACCTGGAAACCTTTGGATTTCACCCAGAACTTAAATTTGGCGTTGATGTGGTTGCTCTCGATATAGACGCCCTCCGAGTCGTCGCTCTGCAAGAGGGTCTGCAGAATTTTGTTGTATTTTCGCCGGGTGACCGTCTTTGTTTTGCCGGAGTCCCCATAAGTGCGGAGGCACCACTCCTGAAAATCACCAAACATCTCCGCCTCGGACACCGCGGGGCTTCGGCTGCTTCTCGTTAAATCCACCCGTTTTTTGGTTGACATGGCTTTGTCGGTCCTCCTCCGGTACGAAAGAGGCTTCGAAGATATGCTAGATATGTAGATAAAGCTCCCAATTTACCGCGAACACCAATGGAAATATTCTTCAAATCGCGTTCTGCACAAACACGCGACTGAACGCCGGTGTATTCGTCTATCCTCGCACCTGTTAACGGAGCCGTTTCTTCTGTCCCACAGGACGGCAAACAAATGACAGTCCCGCGTCTCCTGTTGAGGAACTGAAAGAGGGGCCGTCCTACAAACGGTTTTCGCCCACCTGTAAGCTGAAGGCTAATTAAACCAATCTGCCCCTCGCCTAAATACCCTAAATACGATCATTAGACTGTGTTAATACGCGCAGAAGCCCAAGAATTGCGATCCTCTCAGCGTTCGTCGCTCAGTGATGAACTGCTGCTGCACCCGGAATCGCTCGCCACCTGTTAGAATGAGCTCGAGCCGCGACGCTCGGCGCGCCTGTCCACGCGGAGAACAGGATTGTACGTGTAACGTGAGATAGGAGGCATACTAACTGACCCACGAGGGATGGATGGATGGATGGGTTTGAGCGGCGTCCCATGCGCGGTGGGACAGTCCAGATCCAGGAAGTGCTCGCGTTCAGATAACCCTAATCAACACAAAGCAGACGAGTGTCCCTCAGAAACCAGTTTTAGACCAGGAGGTTACTGTTTGTTTACGTGCTATTTATTGATTTCATCTTTAGTTCATTACTTTTACTAAAGGTGCATTTACATTTGTTGAAATTAATTATTTTGGATCATGATTTTTAAATAATGAATGTAGAAACATGAAAAGGTGAATGAAAATATAAAATACACGACACATAAATGAAAATATAAATCATAAGCATTTGAATATATATGGAAAATGTATACGGTTTAAGTCTACTCTGGTGCTATGTTTGATGGTGATCACACTGCAGTGAACAGACATCATTTTTAATGAGATATGATTTCTGGCGATATGAGATACAGACACCATTGGCCATGCAAAAAAAGTTGAGCATAGCATGCAAATGAGGAAAGCAGGAACAACTCTGAGACCTTCATCAGTTTAATTGCTGTCAGTGTGAACAGGGCTTTACACTGAAACAAAAGCAGTATCAGAGCTGCCTGTGATAGTAGGGGCTGAGGTTGATCAGAGTGTGTGCATTTTAGGCTTTTGTGCACTGTTGTGTCTTTACACAGAATTTGGAAACGACACAAAGCCTGCTAAAAGCAGTCTTAACCTGACTGCTTAAAGTCATCTTTATATTGCAACTGCTTTTTCTAAAACCTGAACAGTTCCATGAAGGTCTACTAAAAGGTGATTGTGGTAAGAGATCAGCATTTTCTTTAAAGTATTTAATGCCGCCTTCATGTGTTTTTGGACATTTAGATGTTGTGAGTAAAATTAATAAAAATTGACAGGCACTTCAGGAATAGTTCTCTCCTCCGCCGTGTGTTGCGTTTATGGCCCGCCCAAAACTTGACTATCAGTATAAGTTGTTTTTGATAAAGATGTCAGTCAAATGCATGAGTGTAAATAAAATGCCACAGTTAAAGGCCTGGAACTCATGGAAATTGTTCTTTGAGTGAATTTGTATGATAAAAAAGTATGTTAATATGTAAATATATTAATCATTAATTTGAAAAAAAAAGAAAACTTTGAACCTTGATGACCCTATGTTGTGATGCAGCTATTTTGTATCATTTTCATATAAATACATGTGCCCTGAGGACAACTGTATTGATCATGAGAGGTTGCTCTTTCACATTTTAGGAGACTCAGTGGAATATCAATATAGTCTCAGATGTCTCTACTAAAACGCCTTAGGAGAAATAAAACAAGACAACTTTTTTCCAAAAGAAAATTCTGAGAAACTGAGAGAACAACAATCGGAACAACTGAGAGATCTCCTTAGTGATTTTTCATGGGTACACACAGACGTCTGCTAGAACAGTTTGATCAAATATAAAGAATAATTCAAATAGATTAGTATTAACATTTTAATCTGAGGAGTTCCGGCAACACATTCCCAGAGTACTCAACCAAGGGATTAGAGAGAGAAATACCACTGCAGATCATGAAATAATGTGGGCGATCAAGAAGACCTTGAGTGAACAGTGAGCATGGACGCTCTGTGCAGGGCTGAGTGCTGTGTTTGTGTAACTCCAAGTGCTCCATGTCAGACACAACATACAGATACACATGCTGTGTGCTGAGAGTACAAACAATTGTGCGGCATAGTTGAAAAGAGCTTTCAAAATCTTTTACAAAAATCCACATCTCATTGATGTTCCATGAAAACTGAGTGCTGAGGTTCTGAGCAGTAAAGTTCTGAAGAGCTTGACCTCATTTAATCTACTTTTGTGGCTTTTTTCCATTAGCTTTGAAGCCATCTATATTCTAGCGTACTCTTAAAAAGTACAAAAATATGTACTGCTTAAAATTTTTTTTCCAGGAAAACAAACAAAACGACAAACTCATTCAACACTGCACAGATTTTCATCCAATCAAATGCCCCTAGACGGAACATGCCCCTCCCCTTTCCAACTAGCAACTACCGAATTATGTGTTGCCTAAAAGTATGTACTCTTTTTGTGAAGAAGAAAAAAATCTGCCAGTTGTGAATCTTTTATGCAGAGAAATGTTTTTTTGTTTGTTTTTTTTTGCGTAATGATGTCCCATAAACGTAACTGTTTCATGATTGTGCTTTTTGTATCTTTAAAAAGTTCACAATGTTGTTGCAGATGAAATATAACACAGATAACATTAAATATTTTTATCAGTTAAATATTGATTATTATAACTCAAACCCCTTTCTCTACTTAACAGTCCGTCTCACAAACATCTGCCATGTTTGTAGTTCTTTTTTATTAGTTTTTATATTTCTGAACCAAAACCTCCTCCAAAGCGCAGTGGGTCGTAGGCAATATCAGCCATTAGACTGTGCACAAATCCATACTTTGAAAATCTACCAGAAATATTAGCCCATCCGGGAACATTTAGCATACTCTTTTCTATGCTTTGGGACAGACTTATTCTAATTTCACATACTATTTAGGATGGACAGTATTCACATTGGGCCACAGGGATGTTTCATGGCTGTAATATAATTAAACACTATTTGGCTACAAAAGGATGACCCCTCGATATGCCCCACGCAAACTTCCTGTTTCGATAGGAAATACGTCATCACCAGAACAAAATTTGTGCTCATAAATCAATACAGGATTTCCTTTAAAATGCATTCCAGTCTGATTTTAAAGGATTTTTAATCATGTAGATTCAATATCAGGTTGTGCTTTTCATCTGATTTATGAAAAACAAGTGAAGAGTTACTTCAGATTTTGACTTGGAACTGGTAGGTCTTCTCTTGTTCACATCCTGAACCTAAATGCTCCCTCTCAGCAAAAGTTAGCAATGGGCACAGGGAATCAAAGCACTGGGTAGAACCAGCTGTATTGAAATAGCCTTTTGCTTTGGGAAGTGAAAGTGGGTTTCAAAACCCTGCTGACTCCCTCCCTGCCTCTTTTTCCCCTTTTCAGCTGTGGCCCAAGAGAGAAGCGAGCATCTGCTTCCAGAGAAAAGTGGTCAGGCATCTGTGGTTAGCCCACTAAAGTCTCCTCCCTGAAATGTTTGTCACTCTGTCTGTCGAAATCACAACCGCTGGTTTGGGCCGCACCATGTTCCAGTAGGCCTCTCAGACACATACGCTGTCATGTGGCGCTGCTTGGATTGTTAGTATTGAGCAGTCATGCTTCAAACTGTATGTGGTGGAGGTAAACCTTCATTGAAATGCCGTCTGAAATGGAATTATATGGATGTAGAGTGTGTTAGCTTTATTATCCTGCATTTCCTGGTTCAGCGTGTGTCTAGCTTCACATGGGACTGGAGATATGTGTATGTGTGTAAGGCTCTGCTCTGTACAGGACTGGGTGTAAGGGTGGGTAGTTATGTCTATCTGTTGCTATGACGGCAGTCATCAGCAGAGGCTGTAAGTGGGTGTAGGGTACAGTGTGCTGCTTATCCCTGCTGACTCACTTGTGTGCATGGGTTTGTGCAATTTGGACTGCTTGCATTATTGGAAATGTTAATCATATCGATCCTGAAAATTTCAAATTTCAAATTTAATTTGACCGTGGGTTTTAAACCTTTTTTTTGGCATTAAACAAATTGTGAGTGATTAACTTTTGTTGACTGTATGTTGATTCCTATAGTGCCTTAACATTATTGAAAGACAACACAGAAAATTAAAATAATATTTTGGCGAAATCATTCACAACAGACTTCTTCCCACCATTCCACATTTCTTCCAATGTTTTGATAAAAATGTTAAATATTAAATATTAAAAATAGATTTTAAAAATTTATAAAATACTGTTTATATAAGAGCCCTGCAAAACAAACATTACAAAAAAAATAATTAACTGTAATGTAATAAAATATTTTGTGATTTATGTTGCTTGCATGTGTATATTGGTATGGAGCCACTCACTCACACGCATGCATGCAATAAAATATATATATTGTGGCCAAAAATTAAAATTTCAATGACACAAATTCTTATTACATGGATAGTTCACCCAAAAATTAAAATGTCTTCATTATTTACTTACCCTCATGTTGTTCCAAACCTGTATGAGTTTCTTTCTTATGTTGAACATACAGTAAAAGAAGATATTTTGAAGAATGCTGATAATCAAAGAGTTGATGTTCCCCATTGACTTCTATAGTAATCTTTTCCTTCTAATGGGACCAACAACTCTTTCGTTCTTCAAAATTCTTCAAAATATCTTCTTTGTGCTCAACATAAGAAAGAAACGTATATAGGTTTGGAACGAGATGAGGGTGAGTAAATGAAGAGAAAATTAAAAATTTTGGGTGAACTATTCCTTTAACACCATGATTTGTTCATTTGTGCCCATATTTAATTTGATCTTTTGAACTAAATTAAAATGAGGGAACAAATTAGTACGGGAATTAAATAATGAGAATTCAATATGTTTTATACTGTTCTCAGTATATTGGAGAAATTGAGAACTTTTTTAGATAATTAGTGCAGCTTTTTTAGTACTGTAGATTTTGTGGTGGCTGTGCTTTAAAATTAAATTAGTATAATCTTTATTCAAGTGATGAAGGATTTTGAAAGTCTGACAGTAATCAAGTACTACTGTAAGGTTAACTGTTCCTGCTCTAAATGTTTCAAAATGATTAACATTTGAAGAAATTTATACTAATAATTACATTATATTTTAAATAGGGTAACTTTTAATCTATAACCTATTGCATTTCCAAAGTAACCTTCCCAACACTGCTTACATGTAACTAAGAGTAATATAAAGTCATGCTATGACATAAATGTCTCTCAGCAAGTAGTGCATTTTGAAAAATTGTCAACTTAACGATCTATAAGAATTGAGAAGTGACCATCTACCACAAACGTTCCTGCGTCCGTCCGGTTGCGTGCCAGCAGCTGTTCTATGCGCACACAGATCACTAGCCTCATCTTTCACAGGAAGCTGAACAGGGGGAACTCTAGACATGTCTGTCTTGATCGATATCTCACAGTGTCATCACATGGGCTTAGCGT